CCCTGAAAGGAGACTGTGGCTAGGTGGAGGTTGGCCTCTTCTTCTGTGTAACTAGTGACAGGACAAGAAGTGGTGGCTTTAAGTTGCTCCAAAGGATATTCAGGTTGGATAGGAAAAATGTTTTTGAAAGTGTGGTCAGGCATTGGAATGCGCTGCCTGAGGTGGTTGAGTCACCATCCCTGGAAACATGCAAGAAATGCTCTGGTGTTGTACTAAGGGATGTGGTTTAATGGGGAAGTACTGTTGACAAGTGTATGTTTGGACTGGATGATCTTGGAAGTCTTCACCAACCTTAGTGATTCTATGATTCCATGACTGCTAGTATTGGTGTTACCTCATACTGCTGAATATCAGAGACCAGCTGTTTTTTTTTTTGGGGGGGAAGGGTGTCAGTACTCAGAGGTTCCCTACTGTTATGGAAGCGCTGATTTGAGGAGCTGGGGAACTGTTTCTGAGCTGCAGCTTACTTGAATAAAGGTTTTAAGTTTTCCATAGGGGCACTTCTGCATTGCTGAAAAACACTGTGTTAGGCTGTGCAAGACTGCAAAGAATATATATTTATAATATTTAGGCCAAATCCTGAGGTTAGGATCTTCAGCTGCTTTTAGCTTCAAATAGAAATGGGAACTTCAACTTAGTCTTTGCATACTCCAGTGTTTCTCGCTCAGCTGCTTGTGAGAGTTTAGATGTAATTTTGCCTTGGGCATGGAGCCAGCCTCTGCAACACTGAGAGAAGTGATAGTTCAGGGTTGCTCTTTTACTTCTTTTCATCACTGCTGAGTGTTGTTTTACTTTCCTCATTTCAGAAAGAAACCGATCATCCAGTGTGTGGGCTGTCATCAGCTCCCTCCCTTCCTCTCTTATTTTCTTCTGTAGTACAACCCAGGGGTGACTTCTAGTACCGCACAGTTTCCATACCCTGGTGTTCTGCCCCCTTGCCTGCAGTGCATGCCATGAATCCCCCTCAGCAGACACACTATTGCACAGGGTGCAATTGCTAAGGCAGCAGCTGTGCTTAAATAGAGATCTAGCAATCTGCTGTGTACAAGTAGAGGTTTCAGCTTATTGGATAAGGTTGCAAAACCCATGACATCCAGCATCTTGCTTGAAGCAATGACCCATACTTGATGTTTCAAATGAAGCTGAAAGTACCTAACAGTGTAACTTGGGAATTGGATGTGGCAGAAGAAAAAGATTTAGTTTACCTTTTCTGCTGGCCTATGAAACAAAAGCACAGTTACTTCTTTAACAGGCTGTAGAGGCATCAGTCCCTTCTGTGTCTGTAGTGGAACTGCAGAACAATTCAGGTCTAGGAAAAAACATGGTCAGAGAGAGTACATGTGCAATTCAGACTTGCTGGAAAATGTCTTTTCTATCTTTCTATCTAAATCTACAGGCAGGTTAGAATTGCCTTGGCCAAGATACCAAAACTTATTGAATTACATGCTGTTCAAACTAGCACAGTGTGCTGTTAACATTGTTTCATTATGTTTTATTACTGATTGCAGGATCGCTGGTATGGAACACAGTGTGTTCAGATAAAGCTCCTCTGAAGCACCAATTTGTTGAAACAGTGGAACCGATAGTGATGTAGCGATTAAGGTAGCTTTAATGGGTTATAAAAGCACTGTCCATCCTACAGATGGTCTTAGAATACTGATTGTGGTTTCCATGTTCTAGTCATCATGCAATTTTAAAAATAATTATATTTGTTGTTACTGCCTGTGATATTTTTTCTTAAACTGTTTGCTAGTGTTAATAAGACTAAAATGTTCTCTACGGTGAATTTCATTTGATTTTCAGAATCTCAGAAGGACCATAATCACAGGTCAGAAAGAGATTTGAATTTTTGATCATGCAGTGGTTCAGAATGTTTCAATGCATGCTGAATCCCAGCCCCAGTAATCTGTTCATTTTTGATAGGCTACTGGATGCCATTTCAAATGAAAGGTAAAATCTAGAACCTCTATTACCTTGTGGACATAGAGATACCAATGGTGTAGCAAGGACTGAAAACAAGCAAGCTCTCAGGTCTTCATTGGAGAAAGATTTTCTGATTCATTTGTTGTTGGATTTATTATTATTATTATGAAGATCTTTATTTCTTTGTTGGTAGACTCATTTTCCAACTCTGTTCTGCCCAAAGGATGAACTAGGACTCAAAAATTTCATCCGCTAACGTAATGAAAACATTGAGCTAGCTTGAAAAATGTGGATTTTTCAATCACATGGGAACATATATTTGTCAATTCCACAAGATGCACTTGGAGGAGATTTTGATTGATTCTGGGGACTGGAATGGAAATCTCTCATTTGTGTCTGGCTAAATACAGACACCACTAATTAGGAGAATGCTCTTTTGGTTCATTGTGCAGATATTAGCTTCATTTCAGTGGCGGCAAAATCTTGGATCCTTGATTTAAAAATAGGTATTGCAGACATTCCATGGAGGAAAACTCTTTGAAATATCTCCTTGGGTACATGTAGTTCCCTGTATTTGTGCTTAACAGTAGAGCGTAATTAGATTTCAAATTAATGTATCATGTGACTACCCTCAAACAAGACTAGGTTACGATGAGTTATTTCCTCTTTTGAGACCTTAATTCTACATTCTACTTCTATTTTAAGCATATGTGTTTGAGATATATGTATGACTCGTATGTTTATACGTATGTGTATTCACATCTCAACTAATAGAATAGATAGATAGTTGACCTCATGTCCTTGGCAAGATGAAATAGCATTTGTAAATGTCATTATTTGTTTGAAACAAGCATCCAAAAGGCTGGTCCTAGCAGCTTTAAGGCATGATTGTTCTATGAAATAGAAAATGCTAACAAAGACACTCATCTTCCCATTTCGTTACCTCTCCCCAGAAGCAGTTGTTTCTTTTGCATGGAACACTATTCAAGTTGTTGAATTCTAGTCTCCCAGGACTCTCTCAAAGGATTGGTAATGATTTCAGACCCTCTGTGTAAATTTCCGTTGCACAAGATAATTTTGTGCTTTCTCAGGTCCATCATTTTTCATGTTTCTGCAGCACTAGTAAGAATTAAAAAGCAAAAAGACCAAATTAGAAATAGAGGAAATCATAATACAGTTTATTCTATTCTAACTTAGAAATAGGTGCTCTATATGTTCTTCACCTAAACTCAATGTAAGGTGGCTTTGAAAACTCCATGAAAATTACAACAGATAATGCAATAAGTCACAAAAAGTAACTGTATCGTATCTTCAAAACTAGGTAAATACCTTGTTCCTGCTTTAGGAATGGAAGATTTGATCATGATAAAGTATGCTGGCCTCAGTCCTTTCCATCACCAAAAATCTATGTGTAATCTTATGTGTTATGATACATGAAAAAATATATGTGAGTGGGAGAGAGTCTGGACATAACTCTTAACAGATTAGAAGGATAGGGATCTCGTGGAAACTGAATAGGACTGCATTTCTATGAAACTGTTATGAAAATAAAGTGTCCTTGTAATGGTTTTACTGGGGAAATCATTTCTTCTATAGAACCTAATTAAAAGTTATTTCTTTTAGATAGTTATTTGGAGTTATCTTGTAGGATGGTTAAAATTCCCTTGTAAAGCCTATAGGAATAAAATTCTTTAGGTTTCTGTCCCCAGGCTGTGCAAAAAGTATTTCCAGGCTTCTGAAGAGTTTATTATCATCAAAGCCACTGTGTACATTTCAATGCATTGCATAACAGGCTATTGTTCAGTAAACTCTATTGGCAGAGTTTCTGGAATAGGAGCGGAGATGAATTAAAAATAATAATAAAAAATAAAGATCATATACTAAGAAGACAACTTAAAAAGTAAATATGGCTTCTATTTCAATTAAAATTAATTTTCTACAGCAAACCCTATGTATTTTATCATTATCTTCAACTTAAATTACAGACATATCAGGTGATCAAAGGAATAATCAACAGCAAATAAGTGTTTCTATTTCATTCATAATTACAAAAGGGCATTTTACAAGTTTAGTTTGCAGGGGTGCAACCTTTTTATTTATTGCTTTTTCATACCACATGAGTCAGTGGCTCTAGTGAACCAGATATGGCTGTAGCGATTAACGGAGATTAGTTTTTGTTTTTTTTTTCAATCTCTGACCCTTTAGAAAAAAAGACTATGTAGCTCTATGATCTTGAGACAGGAAGCTACTCTGCTGATTTTCAAGATCAAATCAGCATCAGACCTGGCTGCGTAATATCCCCCAGCATCTTTCAGCAGCAGGATGTAAGTTTATAACCTTTAGTATTGCAACAAAACTTCTGCTACGTGTATTGCAGGAATAACTTGGTCAGTTGTGCTATAGGAATATCTTCTTCATATAAGAGCTGAAGCTAATTACAAATGCAGCGTATACCGTTCAGGTTCCCTGGAGATGGAAATAGGGTAAATAAAATCATAGAGTCTTACAATCATAAAATTATAGAATCATAGATTCACAGAATGTCTTGGATTAGAAGGGATCTTTAAGATCATCTAGTTTCAACTCTCTTTCCTTGAGCAGGGTTGCCCCCACCAGATCAGACTGCCCAGAGCCCCATTCAACATGGCTTTGAATGCCTCCAGGGATCGGGCATCCACAGCTTCTTTGGACAACCTGAAATAAACAACAATTTACAGGACAACCTGTAAACTGCTACAGAAGACAAGTTTTAATTCTAGTTGGACATACAAATTCACTGCTGTGTCCAGCTTGCAGAAAGTGTATGATGATGTTTTAATTTTATTGGGAAGACGTATTTTATATGTACAATCTTAGTTATAAGTACAAACTTGAGTTTGTATTTCATTTGTCCTGAAAGTGCTTGTCCTCCAATCACCTGGATGAGAAGCAGAGACTACAAGATGACTTGGCTGACCAGTCATTCACTTCATGCTGTATTTTGAAGATCAGGGTCATACTTGTTTTGAGCAAGAGAAGAGAAACCTGTTTATTTGATTAATGCTAACCTACGTGCCTTTTCCTGTCCCTCGTTATAGCCATACTGCATCTGCATCACAACACCAGCAGTTCATATGGCATCATTATATATTGGTTGAAAACACTGAGTGAAGCATTAGGAATATGGGAATGATCTTGGCTCACAGGTCAGTATGTGAGGTACCTATTTTATATTTTCAGCCTCTAATTCACTCCTGTACCACCATTGCCCTGAGTTCTAAAGAATTCTAAGATCTATATACATGTTACCTAGACTATGCTTTTAGATTTCCTTTTAGTTACTGGTGAATGTATAAGTTTATTATGTTTGTCTGAAAAGATGGACTTTTAGTATCCATTTCTCCTGAATTTATCCAAAACTTGGAAATTTAATTAGGGGTCAAATTCTCCTGCCATCAGAAATACTTTCCCGTAATAATTTAGTCAGAGATACTTCAGTACACTTTCACTTCAGATGTTAGCTACAGATCTATTCTATAGATTAACAGTGTATATTTGGTTTGAAAAAAAACCAAACACCATTTTAACATAAAATTAAAAAAAAAAAAAGGTGAATTTACATGTACTTTTTGTTAACTCTTTTTCACTGCACCTTATCTACTAAAATTTATAAAAGTATAAATTTTAATTTTTATTACTGTTGGATAATCACACACATCAATTTTGTTTTTAAAATTCTTTTTCTTATTATGTTTAATTACAAAAACAGTCGGGCTGTTCGACATCATTTTTATACAGTTTTTCTCTACTTTCATGAGGCCCTCATGCTTGTATCAAAGCTCAGTCTTAAAGCAAAGTCCTCATGACATAGAGTAAGTAATTAAAGCTTTCATTTGTCATAAGTCTTTTTGGTGTTTGATGAGGAAAAAATGAAACAAAACTTTCATCTAATATTATACAGTTGTCCACAGAGTTGCTCAAGTAATAATGTATAGGTATGCATGAGTGTTCCTTATGTTTCTATATGCTATGCTTAAGCACTGCAAAGCTACATACAGTGCTCATCTTTTTTCATAGCATGTTCAACTCTACAAAACAAAAAAGGAGGTCATTAACAGCATTAAGGTTGGAGGCAGCCTGGGCTGCAATGACCGTGCCCTGGTGAAGTTCGTGACCTCACAGAATCACACAATAGCCAGTGTTGGCAGGGACCTTAAGAATCATGAATCTTCAACCCCTGTGCCACATGCAACCCGGGCCATTTTGTGATTCTGTGAAAGCTGATTGTTAGCATTGCTGAGATACAACAGGTACAAATAATGCATGTAGGCAAGTATACAGCAAAAAAAGAAATCTCTGAAAGAATGATTTGTTCGGGCAAAGGCTATTTACTACAGCAAGCTCCCATTTTATATACATCTTGGAAAATAAATTTCAGACCTTCAGTCACCTTTAGAGTAATTCTGAAGTGCAGTTTCTTTACAAAGCCTTTTTAAAATTTCCAAATTTTGTAAACAGCTGCTTTTAATAGCAGAATAATAACAATAATAAAATCTATTAGCTTGTATTTGGCTTTGTATCAGTAAGAAAGTAATCAAATGTCAAACAGTACAGATGCTGTTTTCTAATACAGTCCTGATAGTTTTATACACTTGGTTCTAACTCAGTTGGAGTATGACCAGGCCTCATTTAGATAATATATTCCAGATAATGGAAGCTTATGATCTTCTCCAGTATTCTTTGTTAACTTGTGTTTAAGATTCATCTGTATATTTAAACAGAAAGGCTCTATTTTGGCTTATTACATAAGAGAATGGGCTATTTGTAAGCGGTATGGCATTTGGCCAAAGGGACAAATGACAAGCAACAATGTAATAGAAATATGAAGAAGCAATCATCCCAATTTCCCTTTTGAAATGCTTTTAATCATTTCATTGGTAAATGACACAACTTATCCTTGAGTTAACTGACCAGACAAATAGGGAAGATAAAGTGATTCATTTATTTTCTACAGTTCAAAACAATTGAACATTTAGTACCTGATTGTGAAAGGAAGCTTAAGGCAGAGTTAATATTACCTAGATGACAATATTTGTCAGACAAAAAAAAAAAAAAAAAAAAAAATAGGCTTGAACTTTGAATATTGATCCTGAATTTATTAGTTCTTTATGGTATGTCTTTGGCAGATCATAATTCATCACCAAAGGAGTAAAAAAAAAATTGGAACTTTAATACCATGCGCTATTTAATATCTTTATTCAAGAGAAAATACTGTCATGGTTATCAAGCATTGAATTGCTCAGAGCTGTCATCTGTGCCTCATAGAAACATCCTTTTGTTGATATTTTGTAGCACAAACCCAGTAGTCACTCTAAACAACAAGAGACATAAAAAGTTGTAAAAAGTTGTGTAGATGTATTTGCCATGCTAATGTTAAAAATTTTTGAGAAATAATTAGTTGGATATTTTTATATGAATATAATTAATGTGTATGAATCTGTACAATATGAATATGTAGATTCATATTTACATGAATATAAAGAATAAACAGTACATATTTAAAAATTAATCTTCTTTTTTTGAGACAAGTATTTCATTAACTGTGAAGAAAGATATGTGGTTATCCTTTTTTACTGTTTAAGTCAATTAATCCTCGGTTGTCTGTTACCAGCACTTGGATAGAAATTCAAGATGAGGAGTTTGATAAGCTAAATGGATGCAGTGAGACAGATCTTGTACCAGTGAAGGTATACTGAATTATATAAGCTGGGGATGTGGTCTGTAAATTTGATTTTTGACAGCAGATAGAAAATCCTGACTGTGTTGTAATACTACAGGCAATCTTCATGCTATGTTTGTAAGATGGAAGGTCTTCACAAGGCCTCTTCCTGGGACAGTTCATATAAGAATCCGTGAGAAAGGACAGAGGGAATGCCCAAACTAATTAGTAGTGATCCCTTTGGAGTCTGTATCCACCTATAAAATTGATGTCCAAGGTATATGGAGTGAAATTAAGAGAAAGCTATAAATTAAGTCAGCTATTATTTTTTGTAGATTGTGTGAGGATTATAGCGAATCTGTGTTCAAAATCCTTGAATCAATAATACGAAAAACAGAATTTCATGAAGAGGACTGTAGTAGCGTCATACTTTCTGGTGTACTGTCTGCTGTGACTGTGTTGTCTGGTCAGCTGTCTCTAATGAAGTTATTTTTCTCACTCCCCAGTATGTTCTTACTTTGCCTTTCAGTAAAAATTGGGAGATAAGAATAGTGAAGTGCAATTGAATTTAGTCTAGTAAGTGCCTTTCTTACTCGTAAGTACTGCTTGTTAAATTTCATTTTGAAAAATGAAGCTGTATTTAGTGTAAATGTGAAGGATCCTAGTGAGAAGAAAAGCACCCCAAACCATTAAAAGAAAAAAAAAAAAATCTGCTCTTTTTGCTGCTGTATAATTTTAAAGTTATTTAGCAATTTGTACTATATTTAAGGAAAAAAAAGATTGCTGACTACTTGGGCACCAGAATGAAAGTAAAATGAAAATTTTTAAAGGAGGATCTTATACCCTTTAAGAAGGAAAAATAAAATTTGCAAGTTCCTAGCAGACCCTTAATTAAATTGGAATGTTGCTATGCTACCTTAATACATTAGGGAGAAACTCTTAAGGCTGTCTGCTGACTGCAGTATACTGCAGGTTACATTGTTAAGCTTCTTTGTGGAACAGAAGCAAGCTCTACCTCCATAAATAACTTTAATGAGTGGTGGTAGGATACAGCTTTGCACTCTTGTACTTGTTGCCTACATAGAGGACTTTATACCCCAGTACTTGCCACTATCTGCAGTCTAAACAGCAGATATCAAATTTTTATAATTCTCGCTGAATGATGGTTACTCTCTTGCAGCATTTGCCTTCACTTTTAAGAAGAGAGAAGATAATTAATGGCTCTTTCCCTAGAAATCTGTCATGTCCTGGCTTACTCAAGACAGATGTCAAGAATGAGAGATTTTCTAGCGCATCCTTCTGCAAGTACTGTTAGACAGATTGTCAGTATGTGTAAGTTTCTGTTGACTGAAGGTCACAGAATGGTGGTCTCCTCACAATGGATACCCAGCTTTCTGGCTGAGCTGAAAAAAAGGTCCACTGCATCTATTGAGCAAAATGGAGAGCTTCAAGAAGCTGTTGTAAGAATTCCATAAAAGCAGATTGTTCTTCCAAGCTAATCCTGCAGCAGTGCTCTGGTACTGTACTAACACAAATGTTCCTCTTTAGTGTGATACAAGCAAATGAGTCAAACCGTCTTTCCAAAAAACAGTTTCTAAAGCAGTTGGAAAGTTTACCATAGTACAGTAGTAGGTCAAATTTGAACACATATATAGTTTGCATTGTGCTTTCAGTCTGAATTGAAGGCAGCAATCTTCACATGGTATACTGCAAAAAAGTCTCTATATCCAGAAATAGCTGAATTTAAGTGAAGAATAAGGTAATTCTGATATACTACATATGTTATCTGTCAGTTCAGAACTTACAGCTCACAAGCAAACTTCTAGATAAGAGTATTAATGTAGTGTAAGTATAGATACTTCTAGATAAAAGTACAACTGTAGTATAAACGTAAGCCATTACCATCTATTAGTCACTGTAAAGCCTCCTAAATTTAATGTACACCAGACATAACATATTATAAATGCTAAAGATAAGGACCTCTCTTGATTCATCACAGGCAATGCTTGCTGTTTTCAGTTCACAGCTACCATTGCTACTCTGTTTTTTATGGTAGGAAGGAACAAAAAGAAATGAAAGGAAATGACTACTTCAAAAAAAAAAAAAAAAAAAAAGAAAAGGCTTTTGTTGTTGTTTTGGTGGTGTGTTTTGTGGTTTTGATTGCTTGTTTTAAAGAATTAAAACTGAATCCAGTCTTCACCATACTTTCAGCATTTCAGCAATTGGAAAGCAGTTCATCTTCATTATGCACTAAAAAAAACCCACATTTCTCTTATTTTTATCTTTTGATGCCTGTTTTATAAAAGCTACATTTTCTTAACAATTAGCTGTCTAAAGCTCCTGATATTCCTCACAAGTAAATGGATTGTTTAGAGGAGAAGGTTCATAACTTCATCTAGACTAAAAATAATTCTGGTTTTGTTGAATTGAATGGAGTAATGCCAATTGAATGGAGAACTAGAATATATTCAGTCAATTTCTGTAGAA